CTCCCCGCTGACCCCCAGCCCCTCCCCGCTGACCCTGTCCCCGTGGCTCCAGGACCCCCCGAAGGTGTACCCGCCGGTGCCCGCTGAGAAGAGGAAGCCCCTCCCCGCTGACCCCCCAGCCCCTCCCCGCTGACCCCGTCCCGTGGCTCCAGGACCCCCCGAAGGTGTACCCGCCGGTGCCCGCTGAGAAGAGGAAGCCCATCCGGGTGCTCTCGCTCTTCGATGGCATCGCCACAGGTGGGTGGGGGTCCCTGGCCCCATGGCCCTTGCAGGGCCCCCCCAGGGTGTGTGTGGGGTTGGATTGCTGGGGTGGGAGGAGCTGGTGGTCTCAGGCCACAGGTGTGGGCAGGTCTGTGGGTGTTCCCGTGGGCAGCCCCCACTGTCTGCTCCACCCCAGGGGTCACACACCAGAGGGGAGCAGGAAGGGGCCAGCCCTGGGGGGTGGGACAGGGCTGGGGGCCCGTTGTGCCTGCATGGCCCACTCCCCATGGCTCCCCACAGGCTTGCTGGTGCTGAAGGACCTGGGCATCCAGGTGGACAGGTACATCGCCTCCGAGGTGTGCGAGGACTCCATCACCGTGGGCATGGTGAGGCACCAGGGCAAGATCATGTACGTCGGGGACGTCCGCAATGTCACCCAGAAACACGTACGTGCCATCCTGCCCCTGGCCTCCTGACCCCCTCCCTGCCAGCACCGGGACCCCCCCAGAGCTCCAGGGGCAGCCCTCGGGCCCGGGGTGGGAGTGCCAGGGTGTCCTGAGCAGGACTCCGTGCTCCTGGTGGGTCCCTTCCCGCTCCGGGAGCTGGGCCACCATCGTGTCCCTGTCCCCCGGGCTGTGGCAGTGCCTGGCTCACCCGGGCTCTCCTTTCCCTCTTGCAGATACAGGAGTGGGGCCCCTTTGATCTGGTCATTGGGGGCAGCCCCTGCAACGACCTGTCCATCGTCAACCCGGCCAGGAAGGGTCTCTACGGTAGGAGAGGGCTGGGGCTCCACAGGGGTGGGGCTGGCCCCCCAGGGCTGACAGAGACCCCCAGCCCTTAGCCCAGCCCCTCCTCTCTCCTCCCAGAGGGCACTGGGCGCCTCTTCTTTGAGTTCTACCGCCTGCTGCACGAAGCCCGGCCCAAGGAGGGCGACGACCGGCCCTTCTTCTGGCTCTTTGAGAACGTGGTGGCCATGGGGGTGAGCGACAAGAGGGACATCTCGCGCTTCCTGGAGGTCAGTGCCCGCCTGGGCTCACCCCCTCCAGCCCGGGGACCCCCAGGTCCCGCCCCCACAGCAAGGGGCTGCCCAGCCCCACTGGCCCTAACCCCACTGACCCTTGGCACTGTCCTCCCTCAGTCCAATCCCGTCATGATTGATGCCAAAGAAGTGTCTGCAGCACACCGGGCACGGTACTTCTGGGGAAACCTGCCCGGCATGAACAGGTGAGAGCAGCCCAAAGCTGAGCCCCTGGCTGGCTCGGGGAGGGTGGGCTGCACTCCTGGGTCCTCCCTCAGCACAGGGGTCCCCTGACCCTGGTCAGGGCTGGGCAAGAGCAGGAGTCTGACAAAGAGGTGATGGCACACCCTAGAAACCTCTGGTGGCTTCCCTGTGGGGGTGGCTGGTCCTGTCCCAGCTCTCTTGTGCTGGAGGGGTGGCACTAAGCTGTCCTCTGTGTCCCTCTTGGATGTTGGCTGTGGTGGCCCACAGCTAGTGGCCACAGATGGGCTCCCGCAGGACTTGCTTCTTGCCCATTACCTGCCACAGAGCCCCAAAACAGCCGTGGCCACCTTGTGACCCCCACAAACCCCAGCTGGAGTCCTGCCCTGCGCCCACGGTGGGGGGACAGTATGGTGGCTGCTGCCACCCCCTGCCCACCATCTCTCCTCCCCAGGCCACTCGCGTCCACCGTCAATGATAAGCTGGAGCTGCAGGAGTGCCTGGAGCACGGCAGGATAGCAAAGGTCAGCCTGGGCTGGGCTTGAGGGGGGCCTGAAGGGGGCAGGAGGGGGGTTCCAGTGCTGTCACAGTGGCTCCCAGGGGGGAGCCACCCACCCGGTGCCTTGGGGGCTCCATGCCACCCCAGCCTGACCAGCCCGTGCCTCTTGCAGTTCAGCAAAGTGCGAACCATCACCACCCGCTCCAACTCCATCAAGCAGGGCAAGGACCAGCACTTCCCCGTGTTCATGAACGAGAAGGAGGACATCCTGTGGTGCACGGAGATGGAGAGGTAGCGCGGGTGGGCCGGGGCGCCGCGCTGGGCTCCCCCCACGCCCCGGCCCGACCCTGACCCCTCCCCGTGTCCCGCAGGGTCTTTGGCTTCCCCGTGCACTACACGGACGTGTCCAACATGAGCCGCCTGGCCCGGCAGAGACTGCTCGGCAGGTCCTGGAGCGTGCCGGTGATTCGCCACCTCTTCGCGCCCCTGAAGGAATACTTTGCCTGCGTTTAGAGATGGGCAGGAACTGGTCACACGGAGCGAGTCGGAAACAAACCCATCCACGCCAAGAGAAGAGAACACACGGAATGAGAGAAGAGTCAGCACCCAGAAGAGAGACGGGATTTCGCAGCCCGACGGGAACCCAGCACACGTCTCCCCGAGCGAAAGGGGTCGGTGTCCTCTCCGGAATTTCCCAGGATCAGCTTTAGCTATTTAAAAACAAACAAAAACCACAAGAAGCAAACGAAAACGAAGATGGCGAAAGCAAACAAACGACGACGAAACAGAAGAAAAAAAAAAAAGAAAAAGAAAAGAAACCAAAACCTTTTTTTTTTTGGGTAACCTTTTAATTTTCCGCTCTTTTCTGGCTGGGTTTTCCTGTCGGTTTGGTTTCCACTTCTCGGAGCAGCGGGCGAGACGAGATGCCGTCGCCAGCGCCGCTCTCGGAGAGGGGGAAACGGCAGCGGGAAAGCCCAGTGGGGAGGGAGGCGGAGGCAAAGGAGACCCGCTCTGCTCCGAGACCCGCTCCGAGACCGCTCCGCTCCGTCCGCGCCAGCGCCCGGCCGGCCCGGCCCCGGCCCCGGCGGCTGAGCCTCGCTCTGTTCCACCAGCACCGCTCTCCGGTGACATGGAGCCAACCCGGCAGGGAGGCCGGGAACACACACACCACACACACACCTTTTCTACAGTATTTTGGGTGCCTACCACACGGAAACCTTGAAGAGAGCAGATCCTAGAAGCCGCTGTTACCTCTTGTTTACAGTTTATATATATATGATAGATATGAGATATAGATATATATATATATAAAAGGTACTGTTACTACTGTACAACCTGACTTCATAATGGTGCTTTACACAGCGGGGTGAGTCGAGACATCAGCTTCCACGTTGCCTTACGTGCCGGGCCTTTCCGAGCGAGCGGCAGGGCCGGGGCGGCCGGGCGGAAGCGTCTCCATCCCGAGTCATGCAATAACCTTTTTCTGTCCCGAACGGAAGCGCCTCGGCGGTGCCCCCCTGCCCCGCCGGCGCCACCCCACAGCGTACTGGTGCTCTTCTGCGTACGTGGTGTCCGGCGGGGCCCGCGCCCGGTGTCCCCCGGTGCCCCGGCGGCAGGGGGGGTCCTGCCCCCCGGCCGTGCCCCTCGCCGCGGGCGCTGCCCGCCGGGGCGGCGCG